ATGGAGCGCGAAACGATGGCAGACCAACGTAACGAAGGACAGCGCGGCTGTTTCAAGCAACGACTGCGTGTTGCTCAACGTGAACTTACGATGGGACTTAGTCAAGAGCTACAGATGCGATTTACAAGTGTTATTCAACGTGCTGATCCTATCCTACTGTGGCGAACACTGGAAGATCATTTTGATAACCATCCCTGGAGTAAACAGCGTGTTTCTCAAGCGAGATATGCTGAATCGTCGCCTGCAACGTGACGAACGACTTGACGATTACATTCGTGACATCGACGACTACCAACAGAGACTTCGCCGCGCGAACAAGCAGCTGCCTGAGCAGGAAGCCGTCTCTATCCTATTGTCGAATACAGTGGGTGTGTACCCAGCGGTGGTAAACGAGCATGAAGTACGTATTGGACGTGATGAGTCCATTACGTGGGAGCAAGCGATCGAGCGCCTTCGACTCGCTGACCACTCACGCCAAGAGACTGAGCTACAGCAAGGACGTGGTGGAGGTGGACGTGCCGTCCAGCGAGATGTTGCATTTGTTGGTGGCCGTGGCGACGGACACAACGACGGAAGAGGACGTCGAAACTCGAGCAGCAGCCAAGCACGAGGCAACAACAACCGCAACAATCGTCGCAGCCGCAGCTCATCGCCGCGTGGGCGGAACAAGCGGCAGAAGAGCAAGAGCTCATCCAGTGCGAGGGATGACATCGCCAAGCGAAAGGCGAAGACGAAGTGCAACACGTGCGGAGAGCAAGGACATTGGAGTGGCGATCCTGAGTGCCGCCAGCGTGGCAACAGTAACAACAACAACAACTCGAGCAACCCGCCGCGCAGGATGATCGATGTGGTTACTGTGAAGACAGCCAAGTCGGCTGCACCGACTCAAGCTGAAGGACAAGAGCATGTACTCGCGGTGCGTGACAACTTCAACTACAAGGACAAGGACAAGGACCAGGACATGGTGGAGTGGGTGTTGGGATAGCGGCGCGCAGACCAACGTCTCGAGCGACCTTACCTTGTTTACGGAGCTACACGAAGACTCAGTTGCAGAGCTAGTCTTCGGCAACGGCACAACCGAGCGCGCAACTGTGGGCACAGTGCTTATGCAAGTGCTGAACGAGCACACGGGCAAGATCGAGGAGCGCCTCCTTGATGACGTGAGCTACGCCAAGTCGGCTGCCTACAACCTGATCTCGCAGACCTACATGCAATTCAAAGGAAACTTCAAGGTGCGCATCTCGCATGATCAGAAGACTACGTGGCTGGTCAAGGACACATTGAAGCTGCGCTTCAAGTACATCCGCGGGATGTACCGCATGTGGACGCCACGTCAGAGCAAGAACGTGATGAGCGTCAAGGCCAGTGAAGCTGAGAACCCCATGACGTTGCTGCACAACCGCATGGGCCACGTAAACATGGAGACTATCAAGACTATGGCAGGAACCTATAACTTTGGCATCAACATGCAGTCGAAGAATTTTGCTCTCTATGAATGCATTCCATGCTTAGAGTCAAAGACGAAGCGCATGAGCTACAAGCGCAAGCCGTCTCGCTCTGCAAAGCCCTTGCACAAGCTTTGTGTCGACCTATGCAGTGTTGGAGTGGATACAATATCGAAATCAAACCAGTTTCTATTGATTATCGACGAAGCTACGAGATACAAGTGGGGATATCTATTAGCCTACAAAGACGAAGCCACGGAGCTGATTCAGAAGCAGATTCGCTGGATCCAGAACCAGTTCCCGAAGGCGACCATCAAGATGCTGTTCTCCGATGGTGGTGGCGAGCTCGTCAACATGCAGCTCGAGACCTTCTGCAAGGACCTCGGCATCGACACGCGTTCATCCAATCCCTACAGCCCGCAGGAGAACGCTATCGTGGAGCGCACGAACCAGACAGCCATGCGGCAGGTCAGATCTATGCTACAAGCTACGCAAATGCCTGTTTCATTATGGGGAGAAGCCTTCCTACATGCAATTGAGACGCTCAACAAGACGCCGACGCCGGTGTTGAAGGACCAGCAGTCCCCGTACGAGGCCCTGTACGGAGAGCGGCCAGACCTCAGCGTGCTGCGCACGTGGGGGTGCTTGGTGCACGCGCACATCCCTGATGATTCTCGGCAGAGAAAGGAGAAGCTCACTCCAAGGACGCAGATGTGCCTACTACTTGGCTACAGCGAGAAGACCAAGGGCTACAAGCTGCTGAACCTGCGCACAGGATCAGTGACGACGTGCAGAGATGGAAATATGAAGGTACATGAGAAGTACACGGTGAACACTGTGTATATTGATCAACTTCTTGCAAACACCTACGCTTACGGAGACTACGACTTACCTGCGGAGATCCCGATCGTGCCGATCCGGACGACAATGTGTACGTACCTGCAGCTTCCTGCAGAGCTTGCAGAAAAGCGAGCAGCGGAAATGGCGAAGCTGGCTACTGCTGGTGAGAGCCAGGACCAAGATGTTGAAGCTGAAGCCGAGTCTGCGACTCGAAGTGATGACCCACAGCTACCAAGCGAGGACGCTAAGAAGCCAGCAGCTTCAGTGGGAGGTTCCAAGCGGAAGAATACAAAGGGCAAGAATAAGGCGAAAGCATGTTCAAATCGAGTGGGAGCCTCGAAGGCCAAGGACAGTCGACGTGATGCTCACGAAGACGAGAACTGGGAGCCATGCACGACGCAGAAGTCGTCGCCAGACGACAGTGCAGCTACGTCGCGACCGAAGCGGAAGCGACAACCATCCGCCCGACTCAAGGACTACGTAGTGACGAATGTGACGAAGCAGAACGTCGAGGATGTGCAGATCCCCATTAGTCACAAGCATGCGGCAAGGTCAAAGAAGTGGAAGGAGTGGAAAGCAGCGATGCAAGTTGAGATGGACTCACAGCAACAGCACGAAACTTGGGTGCTCGTGCGACGCAGCGAGGCCAAGGGCAAGCGTGTCATTTCGTGCAAGTGGGTGTACGCGCTCAAGAGAGACTCTACGGGCCGGATTAAGCGATATAAAGCTCGACTAGTGATCAGAGGCTTTCTACAACGCATGGGCATCGACTACAGTGAAACATACGCACCTGTTATCAGATTTGAGACGATCAGATGCGTGATCGTATACGCGCTGCAACGCGGATGGGCCATCTTGCAGTTCGACGTCAAGACCGCGTTCTTGTACGGTGACCTCGACGAGGAGGTCTACATGGAGCAGCCTCCAGGCTTCGGAGAAGACTCTACGCGCTATGTATGCAAGCTACAGAAGAGTTTGTATGGGCTAAAGCAAGCGCCTCGCGTTTGGAACAAGACATTGCACAAGTTCCTGACGAAGGTCGGACTCGAGCGCCTCGACTCTGACTACGGACTCTACGCCAGGAAAGTGGGAGGAGAAGTCACCATGTTGCTCACGGTGTACGTCGACGACCTACTGCTCCTCGGCCCTAATGACCTTTGCGCTAAGGTTGCTATGCAACTCAGTGAGGAGTATGAACTCACATCTCTCGGACCAGTCAAGTATCTACTAGGCGTGGAGATACTGATCGACAGCGAGCGTCGACATGCGGTATTTTGCCAGCGGCAACATATTACGGAGGTGCTAAAGCGATTTCACATGGAGGGGTGCAACGCGGTTGCAACACCGGAAGCGCTGCGCGCTGAGGTGGTCACAGATGCGAAAGATGACTCCCCGCCCCCGTACCGAGAGCTCGTTGGTGCACTACAATATCTGGTCTCAGCCTCAAGGCCGGACATTGCGCACGCTGTGCGTAATCTCAGCAAGTACTGTCCTGCTTCGACCACACACACTACGCTATGGGAAAAGAGGGTGCTACGCTACCTGAGTGGTACTCAAGACCACGGCTTAGTGATGGACATTGTTATTGGGAACGACGTCAAGCTGACGTGTTACACCGATGCTGACTACGCTAATGACCCTGATGACCGAAAGAGTGTTAGCGGGTTCGTGACGTTCGTCAATGGTAACGTGTTTCGTACGGATCAAGAAAGCAAGAGATTAACGCACAGAGCACACGAAGCAGAGTATATGGCCATGAATGAGGCACTAGAGATCTACAGTGCTACGTGGACTCTGTGCAGACTATGCTGGGAGTTCGCGACTCTGGAGCATTATCGGCGATAGCAGTCGTGCATCTATCTGACTGCCAAGCCTGGCAAGCACAGCAAGAACAAGCACATTATGAACAAGTTCCACTTGGTGCGCCACCTCGTGGAGAACGAGCAGCTACGGATTCGCCATGTTGGCACCGACGACATGATCGCCGACGCGATGACGAAGCCATTGCCGAAGGACAAGTTCGAACATTGCCGTGATGGAATGAAGGTGCTGCGCATCGACCGTCAGCAAGGCTCAGCTCGTTCAGTGGGAGCCAAACATCATCGCCATGCGTGAATGCAAGCTACTACTACCAGTTCATGCATGCGAAGGACAAGAAGGAGGAAGAGCGCTACCAAGGACGAAGCGTCGTGCTGCAGCGCAGCTAGAAGATGCCAAGGACATCGTGGTGAGCTCTACAAGGTGATCATGTTGAAGCTGCGCTTCGACTAGATCAAGTGGGAGTGTGAAGTGTGGAGGAAGAGCCAGGACTGCGTCCAGCTCAAACCTGAGGCTCAGGTGCCTCCAGGACGCGATGCTCGCGTCCAGAAGCCGGACTTCGACGGACCATTGGCTGGCGAGCCGCCAGCCCCATCCTACTGCTAATCCTACCAATATATGTTACCGGGGTTTTTCCGTGTGCTGCTACACACTCGACAACTTGCGCCGTCAAGAGCAAGCAGCAGCACTCGGATTTCTCCCTGCTGACTTTCAGTCCCTGCAACTTACTGTGTTACGACTACTTCCTTCATCACATGTCACACTCGGCGTAGCCGAGAGCGACATCACTCATGTATGATCACGATCTACTTTGGCTGTCGCTGCTGGGCGACTGGGCAGTCGAACTATGACTCGAGCAATCTACTGGGATACTTTGGTGTCCTCATCAACGTTTGCATGTTCGCGTCTCCGTTCGCAACTCTTCAGCATGTCGTGCAGACGAAGTCGGCCGCTTCCATCCCATTCAACCTAAGCCTCATGATTTTCGCGTCATCGGTACTGTGGGTGGCCACGGGTTTACTGGACAGCGACTACTTCATCACGGGCCTCAACTTGGCTGGTGTAGTGCTGGATGCCATACAGATCACACTGTACTACATCTATCGCCCAGGTCGAGGCGTGGAGCGATACTGCGCAAGTGGAGAGCTACCTGTCGTCGTATCCCCAACCTCCAAGAGTGCTGGCGTCGCGATGACCATCGAGAGTCCCGCTTATAAACCCCTGTCGTCCCCGACTGTTCTAGGAAGACTTTAAAAGACAATATAGCGATATCTACGTCCTATCGAGCACATTTCGCTTGCATTTTCAAACCAACAAGTGTGGTCATCTAAATAGTCGACTAGTGCAATGAGAGCACCAGCGAGTCATCCAAACGGTCTAGCGTCCGTGTCCTCATAAAACAAACCTTTGTAAAGAAAAGAGGAAGCTCTAGAAGTATCTATTTGACGTAAAATGACATCTATGCAACGGTTGGTGACACTAAGCAGCAGTCGGTGATGAGCGAGCTCACCAAAGTGCGCAATGTGTAGCCTCATTTCCACTTTTACCAGCTTATTTCCACTCGACAACGGGTTTCAGGTACACTTTCCTTGGAGTCGCGACCGTTGTTGCTCAAGTCGTGCTGAACCTGAGTCCTGTTCCTGACATCACTCGTGTTCACCGACGTCAGAAGATTGGAGAGCTGGCAGCACTTCCGCTATTAATAGTTGCGATGGTTGTCAACTGCCACTTCTGGTACGTCTCCGGTCAAGGTCATTGCACTTGGCATATGCTTGCTATTGTTTGACTCGGACAGGTTGGTGTACCCTTACGTCACCGACAGCATGTTCCCGCTTATCGCGACCCGAGTCTTCGGCCAGCTCGCGGCTATCGTGTACAACATCGTTTACTATCGCTGGAGCGTGCCAGACAAGCGGAAGGAGTTAAGGGAGCTGTACGCGTGGGCGTTCGCGGCACACTGTGCTCTTTCCCTGTATACAGTTTTCGGTCTATTAGGCGCCACGTACCAGTCCAACTCTGTATCTTGGCTACGCTGGCATCGTCATTGACGTCTGAATGTTCGGCTCTCCTCTGGGCACTTTGATCACGTGATGCAGACGAAATCCGCCGCCTCGATCCCGATCAACTTGAGTCTCATGCTTTCGTATCAACGACGTTGTGGGTCGTTTCGGGGATGGTCGATAGTGACTACATGTATTTTGTTGCGTGTCTGAACGCGATCGGGTCACTGTCAAGTATCATCGAGATCGTCTTCTACATGATCTACAGACCAACAGAAGACGAGGACTCTGTACTATCTAAGGCTACCCAATCTACACTGTATTGACAAAGTATCCGTTGTCGTCACACCAACAGCAAAGGCTACAGCTGAAGTGGCTTCTATGCAGAGTCCAGTTTTCAAGAAAATGATATCGCCAAGAGCGAGTTGAGATACTATCTGGATACTATCACCTTTCAGGAATACATTTTTCATTTGTCATTTATCCTATCCTCAAAGACGGGTCTTTTCGAGGGGGATGCGAGAGATTGATAGATTGAACTTTTGACTGCTTGAGTGGTGTTCGAAGGCGAAATGACAAGTGAAATGCGCTTATCCATAGGTACAGACGCGGCTTCACTAGCAACGATCGACTTGTTCGGGCGGTAGTAGATGTACACGGAGATCTGTGTGACGCTCAGAAAGACTCCGGTGATATTAAGAGACATGATGATCTTGTCGTCGTCCACGATCGATAGCGCAACACAAAGTGACGTGCTGAAGAGCATCATAACGCTGATATTGATCGGCAAGGATGCAGCACTGCCTGCAGCAGCAGACTTGGTTCTTATAACATGTCGGGATAGTACCCAGAGGAGACGCGTACATCCACAGACTCACCACTAACCCCACGTAACCCAACGTTGTACCCACTTCATCATCGGTCTGGTGTGTGCTTCCTGTGACTCCTAGAACCACGTACACAGTGAAGAGCATAGAGAATGCCACACCACTTGCTAAAAGTCTGTTTACAGCACGAACATTAGGTGCATCTCTCTACATGCGAAATACGGTAGACCGGATTCTTAGCCGTTTGTAGCATGCCTTCCTTCGGGGAGATCACAATGGAAATCTGCTTGTCGACGAACTGGAATCCTTCCTCTTGAGCTATCACAGGCTGCTCTGGTCGGAAACGAATATAGAGCGAGATCTGGATGATACTAAGCACGACACCCGCAATATTCAACGACATTATGAGCATGTCGCCGTCCACGATGGAGATGGCGACCCACAAGACGGTGGTGAAGAACATCATGACGCTCAAGTTGATCGGTAACGAAGCAGCCGACCGGGTCTTGACTACGTGCCGAACCGTGCCCAGTGGTGACCCGTACATCCAAAGATTGATCACAATACCGGCATACCCTAGTTTTGCCTGTCTCGTCGTCGGTTTGATTCGTGACCCCTGCAATGCCCAGCACCACATACGCCGTGATGGCTACATACCCTAAAAGTGCCCACGCCAGTATTTTGTTCAGTGCCGGACGATCACTCGACCACCGATAGTATATTGCCGTGAATACAAAGGCAGCGATCTCTCCGAACAGCTGCGTTACCATGAGTGGAAAGATGCTGTCGGTTAGATACCCGTACAACGCCCTATTGATAAAGGTTTTGGTTAGCGTTCGATTGTGGCAAATACTGTTATGTGGCGCCTCGTACCATAGATGGTTGTTGACGATCATGGCAATCAAGGGAAGCGCGGCCATCTCGCCTGTGGTTTTGTGCTTGTGAGCACGGATAATATCTGGTCCTGGACTGAGGATCATGCCGATCTGGGCAATGGAGGTCACCACGCGAAGCAGAGTCACCCAGACCGTCATGGTCCCGGCTAGAAAATGTGTTGAGGAGATAGAAGCGAGTTGAAAAGTGAGGCGTTCGCTGGAATCGAGGCTCGATTTTGTTGCAGTCGGTTTCGCTGACGCACGCCGATTTGAGATAGATGGGATGGCGTTCATTGGACAAAATAGATATTCGAGACCGGTCTAATCAGACTCGATAGGACGAGCACATCTCGTAACTCGCTGTAACTCACTGTAGCGAGTCTCGCTCTGGGCACTTGAACAGAGCGAGACCCTGACGACTGGCTGCGCAGCGCTGGAAGGGAGATGACTGTCGAGGTAAGCATCTCCGATGTGATGATGACTATCTAGTGGAATATAATTGTGCTATTTCATATAGAGAAATCGTATATAACTGGACTGGTTGGTGGAGAGTAACTCCCCCAGACTCTATAATTCATCACTTCTCCTTTTACCAAGTTCACCACAAGCTCTCCTCCTTTTACCAAGTCCGACACAAGCGTCTTCTCCTTCTACACTCACGACTTCCTCTCCACTATGGCCGCCTAAACCACTCTACTTTTATCCTCACTCCATACTGTACTGCCCTAACAACTCTGCGCAAATCATCCCTCCAACAGGTTATAAGCCCAACGCTCAAACGCAAAGCGCCACCTGGCTCAACAGGTTATAAGCCCAACGTTTCTCCAGGGGCGAGCTGGACGCTGCAACACAACACACCTCCAAGCCGCATGAATGGCCAGGGGCACAGGGAGGTGAAGGAGATCTGAGTGAGAAATCGCTGGACGGACACTTGCCTGCGTTAGGCCACGTTGCCAACTTTGCGCCAGCCACTGAGCTGTAGCGCTGCATGTGCAATAGATCGCCATGCTGGGAGGCCATGTTGCCCTCTACGCCAGCAAACGAGCTGCACGCGGTGAGCAGCACGTCTGCCACGCGGTATCGAGCCAGAGGAGAATCTCCCTGGACTCCGTACCATACGCACTGCGTATTGAGCCTACGAAGCAATAACACTTTTTTGCATGAGCAATGTCTCTGTCAATTGACTAAATAGTGTGCATGCTTCTCACTACTTCGAAGTATAATAAAATCCGGAATACAATCCGAAGAGCCAGTAGGGAGAAAATTACCCCAAAGCTGTGAGCTAGATAAAATGTGAGTGAAGTGTGCTCCTAATATTGCTTTGGTGCAAACATTGTTACCTAGCTGCTCAAAACATATTTATGCCACATTCACAAAAGAAATTTATGTATAAAATCATACATGCAATTTGCAAGATGCAAAAACAAAATTGCAAATTTCACAAAGGCTGCCTAGCTTGTACTACTAGTGTAGTACGAAGAAAAAATATATATACCCCAAACGTTGAGAGAGAAATACTTAATGAAATGTATGAAACTGGGAGGCATCAACGCCAAAAACTATTCATGCATTCACCAAACTTTAGCATTTATTGTCACTGGCAAAAGTTTCAAACATTTCCAGCATAACAGTACCAAAAGAATGAGAAAAAAAATTTCAACACTTTATGACCACAAGACAAGCCTACAGAAGCCTCTGTCTACAGAAAGCAAACTATAGTTTTACTGCATCAATTCCATCTACAATGAATTCGATAGTTTGCAAAACCTATCGCTAGCGCTTGCGAAGTAAAAATAAAATTATAAACTTCCAAAGGAGAAACAACTCGATGAGCCTCTAGGGAGAAAAATAACCCCAACGACGAGAGCCTGCACACCTACTGCAAATATGATGCGTACGCTACCGATGAAACTGTTTGATGTTATTTATGCTTTTAAAAGCTGTAGCCTTTCTTCAAAAATATTTAAAAACTATAAGCTCTCAATAACAATAGTCAGAACAAATTGAAAATGACTGCAGCACCTATATCAACCATTTCATGAAATTGGGAGGCAATTCTATAAGACCTCAGCAGCGAAAAACAAAAAACAAACCACACCTTGTGAAGAAATATCCACATGTGAAAGAGCAAAACAATGGCAGTTTAAGAAATGAACAAAGCTAAAACGCTTACACAAAATATATAAAGATAAATACGGTGATCAGGTGTATCCTCAAAGGTTTCCTGAGTAGCCAACATCAGAGCGAACAGGTTTTGATCCTTAAAAATAAAGGTTTTCCTGAGGTAGCTTCTACAAATTCGTAAAGCTAAAACGATAACAGCAACAATTCAGCGAACAGGTTTTGATCCTTAAAATTAAAGGTTTCCCTGAAGTAGCTGCTACAAATTCGTATAACTAAAACGATAGCAGCAACAATCACTACGGTGAACAGGTTTAATCCTCTAAGGTTTTCCTGAGTAGCCAAAATAACAATGAAAACAAGAAATCAGCACAGTTATTGCCAAAGCAAAACGGCACAAGGTGACAAATCTAACAACGAAAGTCAAAGGAAAATGATCATCAATATCAAAACAAGATCTACTTCTTGTAAATGCTCATGTACGTACAGGACTGTTATAAACAGCCACCTGTGGTACATTAAATACTATCCGACAGATAGAGCATCATACACATTCCTCGATGTGGGAGGCTGTCGAAGTAAGCATCTCCGATGTGATGATGACTATCTAGTGGAATATAATTGTGCTATTTCATATAGAGAAATTGTATATAACTGGACTGGTTGGTGGAGAGTAACTCCCCTCCAGAACACCAGACTCTATAATTCATCACTTCTCCTTTTACCAAGTTCACCACAAGCTCTCTTCCTTTTACCAAGTCCGACACAAGCGTCTTCTCCTTCTACACTCAAGACTTCCTCTCCACTATGGCCGCCTAAACCACTCTACTTTTATCCTCACTCCATACTGTACTGCCCTAACAACTCTGCGCAAATCATCCCTCCAACAATGACCACAACTCGATTGCGCGGTTTGGATGGAAAGACCGAAAACGCTAGATTTAACGTCGAGACACACGTCACTGTCGTACCGGTAGCTATACCGTACCTCAGGTCTCTAGTCTCAGCTTGTCCTATCGACTTAGAGCACCTACTGTGAGGAGACTTAAGCGCAGCAGCACCTTGTTGCGTTGCTTTCGTGCTCTTACGGCCTAAGGAAATTGATTTTCTAAGACACATAAGTATGTGAACTGGGAGCCCACGCAGCTTTCGAGATCGTTACTGGAGAGGGACGTACAGTGTGTCGACTTTCTTGATATTGTGGCTGGTGCTACTAGTCTATCATGCACTCCGGCGCCTGCAGTTCTGCGTGAATAGTGAACGCCTGATATATATGCCAGTCTGCTCAAATCAGTTTGGAGCGAAAAACAACCTGTATTGATATAAGTTAACAAAGGAAGTAATTGATGCTCGCTTTGTTAGCTAAACCCGAATGTTTGAATGGTTGTCGCGCTCACCTTCGACCACGCACCCTCTCACCACGTCAATGCAGTAAATAAATCTACTTTATAAGGCTCGGCGTGTCCTTCTCCTAAGCGATTTAACGCATGCATCATTTTTTTGATAGTAGAGTAGCCTTCTCCACTGGTCAGGGCATGGGAAATACAATACCCAGTGTTATTTTGCGTGAATCACATCCGTAATAAAGACTGCAATACCTGGCAACACAGTAATAATCACTGCAATAATCACAATGTATTGCTATCACTTAGTCCTCGATGCAACCGAGAAGGGTGGAGCAGCTCCACATACTGCGATTAGCACGAAGAAACATGGCCGTTTCAAAATTAGCTGGTAAAGTAGATGAACGTAGCGATGTAAAAACAAGCTTACACTCAAAGAAAAGTCTCTCGCACGTGTTGCTTGTCGAAGGAGCGCAGAGTAGGAGGGGATCATACTCGACAGACGCCTGCGATGCAAGCCGTGGCTTCTTGGCTTGCAGGAGGATGAAGGTCGCGAAGTCGGTCGTAGCCGGCACTTCCTCTTGTGCGGTAGACGGAGATAAAATGAAACTGTCGACTGCATGTAATTCATCCTCGGAGAGGGGTAGGTCGTTTTGCAGCTTCACTATTGCAGACTTTAAATGGGGCGAGTGAACAACCTCAGCTGTTGGTGCCAAGTAGTTAGCCATGACAGGATACTTAGCAGTACATCAAACAACAGGCGCACCTCGTCAAGCGTGCACGCCTCTGCTTGAATTTTCACACGCACTGTCCAGCTCACGAAGCTTGTCCAATACACCTTTAACGCGGCGGTGCGCATGGCCACGAGGCACAAACTCTTCATCAGCCTCCACCGTCAGGATCGCATCACGGATCTTGCAATATCGGTCAATCATCTGGAATGTAGACGACCAGCGCATAGTGTTTGTCTTAACAGGCTTGTAGTCGGTCGCCTTTGCCAGTGCAGTAGCATTTTTGACATGACGCAGCTGAATCATCAGGTTTTGAATCAGACCTATCTGAGTCTGACAATCCTGTAGAAATCGATTAACCGCGAGGTTAAATCGACGACTTGCACAGCCAATGAGGGGGACGCCCATTCGTGTAGCCATACTCTGATTGGTTGCACAATTGTCCCCCACAACATAGCGCACCATCTGCAGGTTCTT